TACGCCCCCAAACTCTGGAACACTCTCCCTCAACCCCTCCACCTTGCCCCTCTCTCCCTTCTTTCAAGTCCCTCCCGAAAACTTTCCTCTTTGATTGTGCTTACAGCCACCTCCCCCCTCCCCCCGGCTCAGAGTCAGGCTCTGCCACTGTTAAGCGCTCTGAGACGTTACTCTGGAGGGCGCTATATAAGTGCAAGTTGGTTTTGACAAAGTAACTCATGAAAGTCTCTTTTACAAACTGTGGTGACTGTGGGTATCAAGGGCAAGACATGGACATGGATTCAGAATTAGCTGAAGGAGGAAGCATCGTGTCCTTGTTGTGGAAGCTGGGTCCAAACTGTATGAGGCAGAAATAAACAAGGCAAACGGGATGCTGGGCTATATTGCTAAATCAGTTGAATTCAGATCCTCACACGTTATACTCCAGTGTACAGTGGTCTGGTCAGACCCCATTTTCTAGTCACCGTGACACAAAGTGACTGTCCAGCTCATAGAGGCGGTGCAGAGGTGAGCCACGAGGATGACTCCCTAATGGTAAAGAAATAAGCTATGAGCAACGATTAGATAAGTTAGGGCTCTTCAATCTTTAGAGAAGACGACTCAGAGGGAACCTCGTAAAGATGTAGAACCCTTTAAATAGGATTGAAAAAGTAAATCCAGATCAAAACATTAGGAGCATAAAGACTGTAGAACAAGAGAATATAGGTTTAGAGTTACAAAGGGCAATTTCAGTTCAGATACCAGGAAGTTTTTTTCTTCATGCAGCAAGTAATCAAAACTGGAACAGGTTACCAGGAAAGGTAGTAGAGGGCAGGACGCCAGACTCGTTTAAAATGTATCTTAATGCACTGATGATAGGGGGACAGCGGGGTGGGTGTTCTGGGTGGTTCACAATCTTGTGATCTTGTGATATATTAAATAAGCACATAACGAAATGTAGTCAACAGTGATTACACTTGGAAAACACGAACTGTGAATTTAAAACTCAAGTTGCTTCACAAACTGGCCGTCTGCGATGCAGTTACACAAGCACTGTCCAGACTACAAGACAAGGTTCCAAAAGAAAGACAATGTTCAAGAAACCGTACATCAATTTACAATTATAGGCCAGAGTGCATTACAACACAACAACAACAACAAATTACATTTGTACAGTGCCTTTCACGTCAGGAGGATGTCCCAAAACGCTGGACAGTCAGGGATCTGCGCCCGAGCTGGTGGTTGAGATCAGGAGGGGTGGAAGGGGGGGGAGGATAGGGGTAAGAGAGTGACCAAAGGCACGGTCGAACAGGAGGGTATTGAGACGAGTCTTGAAGGAGGGAAGGGAGGGGGCGATTCAGAGACCTGCTCTACTTCAGTGGACAAATGGTAGCACCTCTCGACAAAACCAATTCCAAGATAATATACGCATCCTGGTGTCAGCTTTTACGCAGTGTGCAACATACACTATCTATTTTAGTAAGTGTTTTTGCACCCTGATGGTTCATAATGCTTAAGATTTTAATGGTTTCTTTTGTTTTTGGGGTGGCATCAACTCCAGGCATTTGCAAATCATGTAGAAAATGGGCACATCCCACACTAATAGCATGAAACACTCAGGGGGCCCTTTCCACAGGCGAGTTTTACTTATGAAATTAACAGAAATAAATACTATAAGGGACTATATCCAAAACACTTATAATATGAACACAATAATGGCATTATTATTTATTTTCCAAATAGTTTTGTCATTATTTCCTAACATATATTATTATTTAAGACTATGAACCACTGGTGATAGATGCAAGCGTTGCATTAACAATCAGAATCTATTAAACTCAATTATTAATTTTAACTAGGTAATACTGCTAGTAACACATATTAAAATTGTGTTCTATAAAAAAGGTACGATTTAGCCCCCAAAACAAGTTCATGCCATTATGCATTAATTACACAATCTGTATGTACATCAAAGTCGGTAGTTAGTGATTAGAATATTTAGTGACTCACTAATCACCACTGGACAGAACCACTATTACAAATAAAAACTGCAACTCCGGACTGATTTCAAAGGTCAATCATACAATATAAACTTTTCATTCCCAACAACAACCTCTTCCATTTTTTGATGACTATACATAGTAAATAGAAAACACACCAAATAAAATGTTTGATTTCGCTCCATGAATTTGGAGCTCCTACACCAGAAATATACAGAACAAGGACAACAACAAAATTATATTTATAGAGCGCCTTTCACGTCGGCGCTGAATACAGGACTAATGTAATCAGTCAGTTCTCCTGGAAGAGTGAATGAGAGGGTCAAAGGAAGAGAGATAGTAAGAGAGAATAATATTCCTTATACTCTTACCTCCCCCCCATCTCCCACCCCCAACACCCCACATAATGAAAAGCCCAATTTATAATTTCTTGTATTTTTCTTTCACAAAAATGATTTTGGCATTACTTTGATACTAATTAATTAAACCGTATAAATTATTCTTATTTGTTTTATCTTCTCACAATCACTACAAACTTAACTCCTCGATTACCGAAGCGCAATATCATTTTTGTGCATTTATTGCTGACCAAAAACAGCAAACAGCACCACTAGGTGATATACCCACTAGTTCGGGGACAAATATAATTACCACTGATATGCATTTTCATGACAAAAAAAACTGATAGAGATGTAAGGCAAATATTAAATACCTGATGATGCTGAAGAAGACTTCAGATTTGTTTTCAAAGTTCATGGCACTTTCAGAACTGTGGACGTCGATTTTTTTTATCTCACAGCCAGTTACTTATTATTGCTATATCCTAGACATAATCACCCTGGTACTTGTTGTTCATAGTCAAACCAACAAAGACGTTACATTAAACCCTCCCCATTACTTACTAACTCCTACATATATCTGTGTACGAAAATAATTAGATCAAGTAATTCATCCCGAAATAATCATTTTTGTATAAACATTACATTATGTACATAATATAAAACTTAACTGGGACCTGCAGTAGTTTGCCCCAAATTACCTTTATTTTTTTATATAAAGTAGAGATGGGTATCAAACAATACCTTGGTGTTTATATTATGCAAAGCTCTGACAGCTATATTGTACCAGTACAATACCCCGTTTTATTGGACGATTACAGCGAATATTCTTTCATGGTACACTTCTCAGATGAAAAAGAATAACAGTGACAGTAATTTATTCTATTTTTAATCCCGACTGTGGAACAGAACACAACAGAAAGGCATCGTGTGCAAACAGCAAACTCTAAGCACGAGTTTTGACCGACACACAAAAAAAAACAATGGGAGTTTATCAAGAAGACGGGTTTACGTCTTTCTTTTTTACATTCTTTTACAGATTTTTGCGGCTTTTTTTGCACATCTGGACGATGGAGTTCAGGGCAAAGGCAAGTGCAGGATGTACAGCACCAAAGGGTTACCAAATGAAGCAGCCAGAAATAAATCAGGTCACTTTCTGCCTGAACCCCATTTAGTATCTGTTTGTAAATCAGCTTCAGAAACATTTCCCACAATACTGACATTTCTTTGCGCGTTTAATTCATTTCAAATCATGGGGCAAAAAAACACACACACACTCACATTCCTCCCTGTTCTTACTGCATCCCACAATCGTTTATCTGAAAAATGGATTGAAAATACACCTCTGGTAATTTTAGGACATTTGTCTCAAGTTTAAGACACAGAACTAAGAGGGAACCCTCAGACGCAGTAGTAGATCCCAGAGTTCTGCACAAAATGCCCAATTTATTACAAGACTGTCTGAGACAAAGTGTGTTTGCAGATATGATTATACTTATTTTTCCTTGCGCTCTCCCCCTCCAAATCTCCTCCTGAAACAGCTCATCACTTGACCCAAACTGTACACAAACAATAACAACCCATGTCTGTCTGTTCACAGGTGATATCACTGAATCCTTCCCGTCCTTTCTTTCAGAATAAGTATATACAGTGCGTTTAACTTGTATTTAGGTATTATACATATTTATATTTATTTATAGTTTTACATTATAAAGATGCATATTTATTTATAGCTGTGCTGTATAAAGATGTATATTATTTATAGCTGTAGATTATAAAGATGTATATTATTTATAGCTGTGTTGTATAAAGATGTACATTTATTTATAGCTGTATATTATAAAGATCTATATGTTGAGCCATGGCGATCAATTGCAAGGATGGATCACACGGAATGTCATCTGGTGTCTGAACTATCACACCAACTCCGACCCTGTTAGTGTAATGTGTTGTGTCTTTCTAATCCTGATTAAATGCAAACCTATTTTTACAGTAACTATCAATCTGCGTTGCTGAACAACACATTATAGAAACGAAAACGCACACACACACACACACATAAATGTCCAACATCTGGTCAACGAATAGTTCTAAACAGATATAGACAACTTCCAATAAATAATGCAGACGAGACAGTGTTCTTTGGATTAAATACCCGACCCGGTGGCGTTATCACTCTCTTGCAAATAGATTTCTTTTATATTAAAAAAAAATGATCCCAACAGGAGGACTGGTCAATGCAGCAGATAACCACAAGCAAAATATTTTTTTAAAAATGCTGATCATTTTGCAAGAAACATGCAAATAATTTCCCAACCCTCTCCCCCCCCCCCCCCCACCCCCACACACACCCCCCATCCCATCCCATCCCAACTTATAACAGGAATGCAAGATTAATGTGAATTAATACAGGGAATATTTCGAAGAGGTGTAGATAGGAAAACGATCTCTGTGTATTCCCACTACACGTCCAGATCAGTTGCCACTGACAGATATTCACTATAGTGGGCGCTAGAGCCTGTGACTTTTTAAACCCCCCCCCAAAAAAAAAAATAATATATCTTTTTTGTGTGTGTGTGTGTGTGTGGGGGAAGAGGCAAATGCAACCGATTGCACCTTGAATTGAAACCTAAAGAAAGGAAGGCATTCACACCGTTTGCATTGCATTTATCCAATTACTCACAGACATCACTGACTGAAAGAGAGACACCGAATGGGCTCCTCCTGTGCGGTGTAATGCCCAGTGATACCCTCAGGACAAGTGCCATAACCCCCAAACCCTCTCCGATCCCCTCTCTCCGATCCCCTCTCTCCGATCCCCTCTCTCTCTCTCTCTCTCTCTCCGACTCAGTCCTTTCCGCACTTTTTGCTTATTACTAATTTGGGTTTTCGGAGAGAAACAACAAAACACAAACACACACAGAGGCACAGACACAGAGGCACAGACACAGACATACACAGAGGCACAGACACAGAGACACACACAGAGGCACAGACACAGAGACAGAGACACAGACACACACACAGAGGCACAGACACAGAGGCACAGACACAGAGACACAGACACACACACAGAGGCACAGACACAGAGACACAGAGACACAGACACACACACAGAGGCACAGACACAGAGACACAGACACACACACAGAGGCACAGACACAGACACACACAGAGGCACAGACACAGACACAGAGACACAGAGACAGACACACACACAGAGGCACAGACACACACACACAGACAGACACACACACAGAGGCACAGACACACACACACAGACAGACACACACACGCAGAGAGACACAGAGACACAGACAGAGAGACACAGAGACACAGACAGAGAGACACAGAGACACAGACAGAGAGACACAGAGACACACACTCACACACAGACACAGACACACAGACAGACCCAGAGACACAGACACAGTGTCTCCGGGTCCTGAGGGTTAGAAGTAACCGTTGGTTGTGGTGTTGATACCTTTAGCGATTTCAGTTGGAGTTACAGCTGTGTTTTGGTGGTGACTCGGACCGTCTGAACTTTCCCATCGCTGAGTGTGGAGCTTCGCTTCCTCTGTGTGTCTGTGTGTCTGTGTGTCTGTCTGTGTGTCTGTCTCTGCAGTACTCCGACCAGGACCCCAGTAATATCGCCAGAGTCACGGAGACCGGAGACAGTGGAGGATGGATGACAGTGTCCAAGAGACGCGCAGCGAAAGCGATGCGCTGTTCCGACTGGTGGCGGTGGCGGTGCCGATGGCGGCGCTGATGCTGCTGTTGTTGCTGCTGTTGTTGTTGTTGTTGTTGTTGTTGTTGCTGCTGTTGTTGTTGTTGTTGTTGTTGTTGTTGCTGTCCTGGTGTCCTCTCGGGGCTCTCGGTACACTGTGGGGATTCCGCAGGTCGATGTGAACCGTGTCTCTCCCCCCGACTGTCCTCTCTCTCCCTCTCCCGCTCTCGGCACAGCACTGGCACATAGCGCTGCCCCCGCGCTCTGCCTCTGTGCTGCTCTCACCACAGCGCTCACAGCAAACTGCCCCCTCCCTCACACTGCCCCCTCCCCTCACACTCCCCCCCCCACACACTGCCCCCTCCCACACACTGCCCCCTCCCCCTCACACTGCCCCCTCCCTCACACACTGCCCCCTCACACTGCCCCCTCCCTCACACTGCCCCTCCCCCTCACACTGCCCCCTCCTCACACTGCCCCCTCACACACTCCCCCTCACACTGCCCCCTCCCCCTCACACTGCCCCCCCTCCACACTCCCCCCCCTCACACTGCCCCCCCCCTCACACACTCCCCCTCACACACTCCCCCCCCTCACACTGCCCCCTCCCCTCACACTGCCCTCACACACTGCCCCTCCCTCACACTGCCCCCTCCCCCTCACACACTCCCCCTCACACACCCCCCCCCACACACTGCCCCCTCCCTCACACTCCCCCCTCCCTCACACACTGCCCCTCCTCACACTGCCCCCTCCCTCACACTCCCCCCCCCACACACACTGCCCCCTCCCCTCACACTGCCCCTCACACACTGCCCCCTCCCTCACACTGCCCCCTCCCTCACACTCCCCTCACACACTGCCCCCTCCCTCACACTGCCCCTCCCTCACACTCCCCCCCCCCACACACACTGCCCCCTCCCTCACACTCCCCCCTCCCTCACACACTGCCCCCTCCCTCACACTCCCCCCTCCCCCTCACACTGCCCCCTCCCTCACACCCCCCCCCACACACTGCCCCCTCCCTCACACTCCCCCTCCCTCACACACTGCCCCTCCCTCACACTGCCCCCTCCCTCACACTGCCCCCTCCCTCACACACTGCCCCCTCCCTCACACTGCCCCCTCCCTCACACACTGCCCCTCCCTCACACTCCCCCCACACACTCCCCTCCCTCACACTCCCCCCACACACTGCCCCCTCCCTCACACACTGCCCCGTCCCTCACACTCCCCCTCACACACTGCCCCCTCCCCTCACACTGCCCCCCTCACACACTGCCCCTCACACACTGCCCCTCACACACTGCCCCCCACACACACTGCCGCCCCCTCACACTCCCCCCCTCACACTCCCCCCTCACACACACTCCCCCTCCCTCACACACTGCCCCCTCCCCCTCACACTCCCCCCTCCCTCACACACTGCCCCCTCCCCTCACACTCCCCCTCCCTCACACACTGCCCCCTCCCCTCCACACTGCCCTCCCTCACACTGCCCCCCCCTCACACACCCCCCCTCACACACTGCCCCTCCCCCTCACACTGCCCCCCCTCACACACTGCCCCCACCCTCACACACTGCCCCCCCCTCACACTCCCCCCTCCACACTGCCCCCCCCTCACACTCCCCCCTCACACACTGCCCCCCCTCACACTGCCCCCCCTCCACACACTGCCCCCTCCCTCACACTGCCCACACACTGCCCCCCTCACACACTGCCCCTCACACACTGCCCCCCCCCTCACACACTGCCCCCCCTCACACACTGCCCCCTCCCTCACACACTGCCCCCTCCCTCACACACTCCCCCCCCTCACACACTGCCCCCCCCTCACACACTGCCCCTCACACACTCCCCCCCCTCACACACTGCCCCCCCCCCTCACACACTGCCCCCCTCACACACTGCCCCCTCCCTCACACACTCCCCCCCTCACACACTCCCCCCCTCACACACTGCCCCCCCTCACACACTGCCCCCCCTCACACACTGCCCCCCCCCCTCACACACTGCCCCCTCCCTCACACACTGCCCCCCCCTCACACACTGCCCCCCCTCACACACTGCCCCCCTCCCCCTGCCCCCTCACACACTGCCCCCCCTCACACACTCCCCCCCTCCACCCCCCCCTCACACACTGCCCCCCCCTCACACTGCCCCCCCTCACACACTGCCCCCCCTCACACACTGCCCCCCCCTCACACACTGCCCCCTCACACACTGCCCCCCCCTCACACACTGCCCCCCCTCCACACTGCCCCTCCCTCACACACTGCCCCCCCCTCCACACTGCCCCCCCACACACTGCCCCCCCCACACTGCCCCCCCCTCACACACTGCCCCCCCTCACCACTGCCCCCCCCCCCCCCCCTCACACACTGCCCTCCCTCCACACACTCCCCCCCCTCACACACTGCCCCCTTCCCCCCCCCCTCACACACTCCCCCCTCATCCCCCCTCACACACTCCCCCCTCACACACTCCCCCCCTCACACACTCCCCCTCCCTCACACACTCCCCCCTCCCTCACACACTGCCCCCTCCCTCACACACTGCCCCCCTCCCTCACACACTGCCCCCCCTTCACACACTCCCCCCCCTCACACACTGCCCCCCCCTCACACACTCCCCCCCCCTCACACACTCCCCCCCCCTCACACACTCCCCCACCTCACACCCTCCCCCCCCTCCCAACCCCTCCTCCTCCTCTCTCCCTCCCCCCCTCCTCCTCTCTCTCCCTCCCCCCTCCCAACCCTCCTCCTCCTCTCTCTCCCCCCCTCCCTCCCAACCCCTCCTCTCTCTCCCTCCCCCCCTCCCTCCCCCCTCCTCTCTCTCCCTCCCCCCTCCCACCCCCCTCCTCTCTCTCCCTCCCCCCCCCTCCTCCTCCTCTCTCTCCCTCCCCCCCTCCCACCCCCTCCTCCTCCTTTCTCTCCTCCCCCCTTCCCACCCCCTTCTCCTCCTCTCTCTCCCTCCCCCCCTCCCTCCCCCCTCCTCTCTCTCCCTCCCCCCCCTCCCACCCCCTCCTCTCTCTCCCTCCCCCCCCCTCCTCCTCCTCTCTCTCCCTCCCCCCCTCCCACCCCCTCCTCCTCCTCTCTCTCCCTCCCCCCTTCCCACCCCCTTCTCCTCCTCTCCTTCCCAACCCCCCCCTCCTCCTCACCCCCCTGGACTGCAGCTGCCAACCAGGGGGTCGCCAGAAATGACAGTACCTTTTCTCGCTCAAAGTCAGGCAGGACCTTGATTTAGGACTTCATCTCCGTTCATGACTCCTCCTTGAACCATAGAGCTACAGAAATACACAGCGTAGAAGGAACCCATTTGGCCCATAATTTCATAGTTTCGCCCTCAAAATATACAGTCGATTCACTTTGCAGTATATTCTGTGAAGCGCTTGGAGACGTCTCAAAGACGTGACAAGGCGCTATATCAAATGCAAAGATTATTATTATTATTATTATTATTATTATGCCTCTGCTGGGAGTTGTGGTTGACATCAACTTTTGCTTGGACATCTTTTCTGAGGGACCACAGTGAGAAGGGGAAAGGTCAGATACTTACTCACGAACCATAATTTCTCCCAGTTTTATTTCATCTGGTTTCTGCTTTACCTATTTTTCTGGGGAAAATACCCCTGTTATTATAGTTTCTCCTTCTAAGTGAAAAAAGATCTCATCCCTGGTATCATCCCAGTGAGTCACTGCTGTTCTTTATGGCGTTGTTTTGCTTTTTAGAGTTGGGTACCAAAAAGTGGACACAGTATTCCACTGAGATCCAACAAATTATTTCTATTGGTTCAGCATCACCCCTTTGATTTCACTTTTTATTCACCTATGGAATTTCCTATATCCTCTTCTATCCTTTACCATTTCAACAACTTTCAGATCATATTTTCCAATTCCCATTGATGCCTCTTTGTTTTATTTTTTAGTCAGCCCGTGTCTACGTGTACAGAAATCTATCAGCATGCTTAAGAGTATCCAAGCAGTTAAATGCATCCTACCTA